AATCGGATTTGTCTCGTTCAGACTGTCATAAAAAAATCAGATATGAGTCAGATGGGTCAAAAAAAATCGGATTTGTCTCGTTCAGACTGTCATAAAAAAATCAGATATGAGTCAGATGGGTCAAAAAAAATCGGATTTGTCTCGTTCAGACTGTCATAAAAAAATCAGATATGAGTCAGATGGGTCAAAAAAATCGGATTTGGGTCGGATTTGCCTGCAGTGTGAACCAGAGTTTGCACTACCTTTTTATCGTCAAACATAATATTTACCCATCAATTTTTGCATGATAATTGCATTTCATTTTCATTCTGTTTAATATTCAACAAGTTGAGCAGATAAACCACCCTAACCCCACTACTTGGTATCGGTATCGGCGAGTACCCAAACTGAAGTACTTGTACTCAGTCTTGAAAAAACTGGTATCGGGACACCCCTAGAAATTACCCTTAAATCATCATGAAAATACAACTTTTTAAACATTTTTTCAGGTTTAAAAAGAATGCCATTTATTAAAATTCAACACTTAACCCATATTGCATAACTCAATTTGCAAAATAAAAGTATCAAGGTTCAAAAGTAAACTACTCCAACAGCTTTTTCTCCAAACCAAAGGAAAGTGTGTTAAATGATCTAAACTTTGTTCTGTCTACTGTCACTCCCTGGTATGTTATTGCCCTCATCTTATACGTGTTAAAATGAAGGACATTTTTATCCCCATGTTGCTAATGATCCTGCTGACACTGAGGGGGAATTGATCRCAGCTCTTACAGCAGAGTCTTGTTTGGTATGCAGAGCCTAAAACTGTCCATTTGGCCTCAGCCGCCTGTTCTGTTAACAGATCAGTCACCCTGCTGAGGGTCACTTAGACAGCTTGGTATATGGTAGATATTACACAGCTGTATGACCTCTTTAAAACTTTTGGCACACTTCAGCAGAGCRCCACTGCTGGGATCCTGCATACTCCAACCCTGCCTTTATTTTTGTGAGTTATAGATCCAACAGAAAGAAACATATTCTGGTTGTTCTTGATATGAACAGCATCTTTGTTAGGGGGGTGAGAGGGATCTTTCACAATTCAAATGTTTTTTATGCATCTAACCTTAAAAATAACTCCAAAGAGGTGATTGAGACCCCAATGGCTCTCCCTGTTAATCTCACTGCACTTGCCATAACAGGAAGTGATGCAGCTGGTCTGAATGTTTCAGTAGTGGTTCACTAAAAAGGTGGGGCAGATGGAGAGCAGGTTCAGCCTCCCGAGAAAGTCTAGCCTCTGCTATTTTAGGTGTGGAGCTGAAAGCCCATGAGTGACTTGTGGTTGACCCTCTCCACAGAGCAGTTGCAAATTGGGGAAAGCGGAATCTTCTTGTAATTAAAAAAATGTTTTTAAGTTTTTGGCGACTGTAAGATTCAGCTGTTTTCTCCGTTTACCTTCCAGCATTGTGGGTCACACAGAGCCATACACCAAACTGTGCTGTAAAGGCTTCTGCATCGACATCCTGAAGAAACTTTCCCGCAACATAAAGTTCTCCTACGACCTGTACCTGGTCACCAATGGCAAACACGGCAAGTTGGTCCGGGGAATTTGGAACGGGATGATCGGAGAGGTAAGAAGTAGCAAGTTTTCCATCAGCAGATTCAATCAATCAATCAAATCAAATCACTCACAAACCTTTATTTAACCAGATAGAGCCCATTGAGATCAAGATCTCTTTTCCAAGGGTGACCTGGTCAAGAGGTCAGCAGCACACACCGCAGGGTAGTTGACACAAAAGTTACATCMTAGAAAAAGAAACATACAAAAAAACACAGTAGCATTAAACAGATTTAGACAATGAGTAGTACAAACAATCTAGATGAGGCAAAGTAGTAAACTAGGCATTGACAGTGGTTTCAAAACTTAATGAAATGGCATTAGAGTTAAATTACCAAATTTTGGTTGAGTACAGACTGAAAAATAGAAGTGATACGTACAGTAGACATACAGTGATCAAGACGGACATAGACAGCTATCAAACCTCTTGATGATAGTATCTGTAAGGATTGAAATGAAGGTTCTCGAAGAGAGAAGTTTTGCCAATTTCAGTTCCGTCTAATTTTTTCCAGGTTGAGGGGGCAGCAAAGCTGAACACTCTTTTCCCTAGTTCAGTTCTGACATGAGGAACTGACAACAGTACTAGATTGTTGGAGTGCAGGGAATAATAACTGTGTGTTGTTTGTATTAAGGTGATAAGGTATGACAGGACTAAGTTCAGGAGGATCTTACAGAGATGTCCAATAAGTGTATCTGTGAGCAGTAACCAGCCAGATTTGACATACAGTGATGAATAAGGTAACTGGAGTCTGTGATGAATCGTAGAGCACTATGGTAGACGGAGACTAAGAACTGCAGGTATTTTGATGCAGCACTCATGTACAYCACATTACCATAGTCTAATATTGGCATGAATGTTGCAGCTACTTATGATCTCCTAGCTTTCCATGAGAAGCAGAATTTGTTTATGTAATAAAAACTTAGTTTCAACTTGAGCTTAGTGGCCATTTTAGGGATGTGGGCTTTGAATGACAAGTCGCAGTCTATCAAGGAGCCTAGGTATTTATAAGTGGAAACCATTTCTATTTGTTTACCCTTTTGGGTTTCAATTTGTAGTGGGCTCCCTGGTTGCTGTCTTCTGTTAGATAAAACCATTATTTTGGTTTTGTCTGCATTTAAGACCAGTTTACATTTTTGAAGACGTGACTATATTAAGTGTCGTGAAGAAAGGTGAAAGCTCTGCTGAGGGAGGATGAACAGCATTAGATGATGATGTCTTTTATATGGAGTGTTTTGTTGGACAGTAATTAAGACTGAACACATGAAAAGCAAAAACCTCAATCAGTAGTTAAAATTAAATTAGGAGACTTCTGATGAACGAGTAAACAGGTGCCAAGGTCACCATGTTATTTGTGGGAGGGTTTGATGTACAAGGAGGAGGACCACTTGTCACTGTGAATAATCTGCAGTCACATTCCTGGAGCTGGCCTTCCTTCGGGGGAGCTGGGGGAAATTACACTGGTTGCACCCCCCCAATAAAAAAAAAACAAGGCCATTGTGCTCAATGAGGCATCACTCTCCATAGGAGAGCAAATAGCTTGCATGAGGCGAGGTGTCTGGACCACAGCCTCTCCATCAGCAGAATAAAGAGAAGTGTGTTCTGGCAGTAAAAGAGCCAGCATCAATTACAGAGAAAACTGAACCGGACTGGGCCAGTCCAAGATTCAAACATGAGCCAAAACAGCTTTAAAAAAAAAAAAAAGCAGTTTAGTCTAGCTTCATTTTCTAATAAGAATGAAGTACTTCATTTGGATTAGAAATTGTTTACACAGTGAAATCATGTTTTACATATTCATCTGTGAAACCAGTGGCAGCTGGTGGATTTTTCTCGGGGGGGGGTGGGTGGCTACAACTCCAAAATAGACATATTTCAAAAAGCAATCAAACGTACTAAGTTGTTTCATGCCAGTGTATTTATTAAACAAATCCAAATAATAAAACTGTTGTGTAGTTTTTATTTTTAGTACATACATTTTGCTCTTCTGTAACTGAGAAGAAAATTTCTTGATGACTCGGGTTAAAGTCAGGGATGTTTTAACCAGATTCTTCTCTTTAGAGCATGGTCAGTGCAGTGAGATGTGATGTGTACCTGAGGAAAGTCTGGATTCTTTCCAGTGTTGAAGCTCATCTCAGATTCAGCTGTGGTCAGAGGAGATGTGATGAGAATCTTCAGCAGAGTCACAGTCTCTGAAGGTGTCCTGCAGATTGTTCCTCATGAAGAGCTGGTACAGAAACACAGCACCACTGCAGCTCCTGAACTAGATCAGACTTCTTGGTCCTGTTCAGCATTCYGTGAGCCTCCGTGGTCTTCAGTYCTGCAATGGATCAAGATGGTGTCAGAAACCTAAAACAATAAATGCACACATTTAATTCAATATGGAGATGACTACAAGTGAGCTTTATAATATATATTTAATACATAGAGAACAATTAATATTATTTTAACGGCAACAAATTGTTGCATCTCTAAGGTAAACTATTATATTTTTGTTTTAAAAATGTATTTATTAAATTTAAAAAAACAAAATAATCTTTACGCACAACAGAATAAAAAAGATAATAAAATGAAAGGCAGAGAAAGAAAAAAAATCTTCTAATATCTGTCAAAAACAAACAAAAATATTATATTATATATTATTTTAAGTTGTGTTCACCATTAATATATAATATATATATAATATACTATGATTAACAAGCATTACAGAAGTCTTAGCTTTTCTCTTACTGGTTTTAATCCATGCTGGATCAGATCCTGATGCTTGAAAAACGTTGGCTACGTACTGTAACCCACTACCGGTTGTGTGAGTTCAGCTGCGGGGTGGCCACATGCTGAGCCCCAGGCCACTCTATTCTTTTGCATTGTGGACTTACTGCGCATGTCCAAAATCTTACAAAGACTTGTCTATGGGAATCTGGGGCGGCGAACAGCTTGTGACCCGGAAGTGACTCAACACGAAAAAACTCATGAGTAAAATGGAAGTTTGCACATCAATAACATTAAATTGTATATTTTACTTATCAGAAAACATATATACGAAATTTTTTTGAAACATTTGACATTTTATTTTGTTATTTTAATGTTTTTATTTTTTTTGTGTATCAAAAATAGTGGTGGGGCGGCGCCCTAGCGCCCCCCATTGACCAGCCGCCACTGTGTGAAACTGTGATTTTTCATGAACACAAACGTTTCGTCAGGTCAGGATGACATTCACTGTACATCTGACAGCCCAGTTCTGATCAGTCCATCCCTGAGACTCAGTGGACATTCATGTGAACGCTGCTAAAAACATATTTTAAAATAAGTCCTCAACCATCCAACACAGCATTTTAAAATCAGTTAATCCAGTGGAGTCTTAGTGAACATTTGTGCCAGATGTAATGAGATTCCCTCGAGGCGTTTTCTGAGATTGAGATAAGGCCGAGATAATTGGATGGACAGAGGAGCCACTGAGAACATAATGCCACCGATGAGGGCCGGCACCGGAGCTGAAGCACGAACAAGCGAGATAACATTAAGTGAGGCTTTTTCAGCGGTGTCCTTTCAGCTGCCGCCTGGCTGCTGAAGGATTCAGTAAGTGTTTTCAGCACCAGGAAGAGACGGAGTGTGTTGACTTTACTGATAAAAAAAAAAACATTTACCTGAAAGGTCTGCAGTMGATGTCCGGACTCATGTCCTCCATCTGCTTCTAGTTTCATTACGCTCCAAAAACAGCATCTCTATTGACCGTCCTTTCTCTACAGGTGTTCTACAAGCGGGCAGACATGGCCATTGGCTCGCTGACCATAAATGAAGAGCGGTCGGAAATTATTGACTTCTCAGTGCCGTTTGTGGAGACGGGAATCAGTGTGATGGTGGCTCGAAGTAACGGGACTGTATCTCCATCTGCCTTCTTAGGTGAGAAGTTACTTTTAGGAGCCTGGTGCTTCTGCTGGAAAAATATTTTAAGGATTTTTTTTGTTTGTTTTATTTTTTGTCTGCAGAACCGTACAGTCCAGCAGTCTGGGTGATGATGTTCGTCATGTGTCTGACAGTTGTGGCCATTACAGTCTTTGTCTTTGAATACTGCAGTCCAGTTGGGTATAACCGCAGCCTGGTCAGTGCCAAAGGTARGCCTCCTGAATGTTTATCAGTATGTTTCCTTTCACAATAAAAGCACCAGAGAGTACACAAAAGTAAAATTATATGTAATTATTTTGCTGCAAAAACTGTGATTTACATAATTTATGTGGTCATATTTGGAATCAAAGTATCTGGAGACAAATCTAAGCTTGTCAGATGTGAACATGAAAAGAAGACAGATTCTGTACCTCTTACACCTTAAAGGTATCAAAGGTTGTAGAGAAAATGTGTTGTGTGGTAACATTGGATCAATTTTTGGTAAATTGAGACAGAGCAGTTTCATTTCAGTGCCACATGCTCTACAAAATATCTTATGAGTTTTTTTTAAAGGCTATTTAGAGAAGATAACTGCATGTRGACTGAACTTTCTTACAGTTTTCTTTGAGACAACATTTAAAATGTTCAACAATTTTGGTCTTGAAATTAAGCAAAATCCAAAGCATGCTTTAAATGGTTACATTATAACAGAAGTTTAGTAACCGTATATTACCTGAGATAACTGTTCACTTTTTTTTAATTTAAACTTGTTTAGGTTTTATCATAATTGAAAATTGAGAAATGTTAAAAACTTGAGATGTAATAAAATACAGATTTTCACAATTTCAAGAGGAAGTTAAAGAGTGACTAAATCCAAAAATCAACTTTTTTGCAAATAAATTGTCTTAATTGTGCCTTAAGTGTATTATCTTTACATTGCTGTGCTAATTTAGTCATTTTAGTGTAAATTTGTTTAATTCTGCAACATTGTGTCTAAAACTGTCTTAGTGCTGCCCTCTATAGGTTGAACAGTGGCTACTGCAGTTGAATTTTCCTATTGGTTAAAACAGTACACTTGTGTCACAACTTGTTCAGGTATACAATCTTCTCACTCAGAGATATGCCAGATAAAGGTTGGAAAAGGGAACACTGGGATAAAAGTTTGTTACAGTAGTGATGATGCTACTCACATCACTTTAACACATCACAGATTTTCTGCATCATCTTCAATATTCCCTCAGTAACAAATCAGTTTGTTGATGTTTATTCCTGCTAGTGGGGCGACTGCCACACAAAGCTGTAGCTTCTGATTCAGGAAATGGCTAAAGGGCAATTCCAATTTGTCACTACCTTGAGCTTCTTTAATCTGCTGTAGTTTAAAACTAAAATATTTAAATACATTAAACCTGTACTGGATTATTCTACTCTTATAGCAGAGTATTTAAAACCAAGTTTGTGATTTTTGTTGACATACATCTGGACCACATAAAACCTATTTTCTGAAATGCTAGCTTGTCAGATTAAGCTAGCTGTCACATCCCCTCCTGACCACACCTCCTCGCTCATCCCAACGATTGGCCATGCCCCTCAGTATCTCGTGGTACCGCCCACTTTATTGGCATTTTCAAATTTGCCTGGGGGCGGGGTTCTGCTTTCACTTCAAAGTTAATTTTTAGGGTTCAAAACTTGGACATTTTGAAAATCAGCAAACTGACAGTATGTTGTAGCATTTGATTAAAAAAAGCAAACCAGTACAGACACTGATCCCTGCACCCCATTTTTCTTTAGATCCTGGGGGTCCCACCTTCACCATTGGAAAATCCGTCTGGCTGCTGTGGGGCATCGTTTTCAACAACTCTGTTCCTATTGAGAACCCAAAAGGCACCACGAGTAAGATCATGGTCCTGGTCTGGGCTTTCTTTGCCGTCATTTTCTTGGCTTCCTACACGGCCAACCTGGCCGCCTTCATGATCCAGGAGCAGTACATCGACACCGTCTCTGGACTGAGTGACAAAAAGGTACAGACCTTTGTCTTTTGCTCAATGTTTGTTTCACAGCTGAGGAGAAGAAACAAGTTGTATATTTGAAATGCATGAACTACAGCTGTTGATGGTGGGGAAGTCATTGGCCTAACTAAACAAGAGTTGGGTAAACATATCTAGAACAGCACGCTTATACAAAGATTATAGACATACAAGGATATTTTCCCCACATGATGATTAATTTCATTTTTCAGCCCAGGGATGTGTTTATATAAGACTTGACAAGAAAAATCCACAACAAACTATCAGCACAAAGAGTGATTTGTATTTTATTACTCCTTTCAGTCAACTGAGAGGATTAAAGAGACGTTTGAGGAAAAGACAGAGCTGTCCTGTGCTTTTTACAATTCTACTGAAGTCATTTATTTTTCTCTTTTCGTTATAGATTAATTCTGCAATGCAGAGAATACATGTTTGTCAGTTCTTTTAACAGCAGCTCCATAGCTTATTGGACATCATTCTGTCTGAATGTAAAGCCATGCAGATAATCTTTAATTGTCAACTAGTCTCCAACAGTCAGTCCAGTCAGATACTATCTTAGGATTTTTTTGAGAGACTCCTTGTCTTGTTCTACAAATAGTCTGTATTTATTTTACTGTCCAAGCGATATTAGAGGAACCAGCATGAACTCAGAGGTCAGGTTGTAGCYCACTGCAGATTAAAGGGTCCTGAGATAATGTCGTTTCTTCTCTTCTCCTTAAGTGCAAATTGACTCTTTAGTTATGTACTCTGAACACATTTGCATAAGGTTAATGAAAAACTGAACTACTGTAGTCCCACTCGTCCGACTTCCTTTCAATGATAATTAAATGCATATCGTGCTGCTAAAAGCAAAATGATAAAATGAGGTTTTTTTTCTTTTTTTGGGAGACAAGGAAAAGATGATGGAAGTTTAGATCCCTCTGGACACCATGTTCTGGACAGAAAGTTAATTTCTATTTTTGTGGTGTTAGATGTATAAATTAACAGAAGCCTGAAGGACAGCTATCAAACAGGCTCTAAAATATCAGATCATYAAGTATATCACAGAAAAGTTTGGCTTTTGCTTTGTTTCAGTGTCTCTGGGCTTTTAGTTCCAGTTTACAGCATTAAAATGTAGAAAAAAAGTCAAGAACGTGGGCGTGCTGTTTGACCCTACGCTCTCTCAAGTCTCATCTAAAAGAGGGAACAAAGACCGGTTATTATCATCTCAGGCACATRGCAAAAATTAGACCTGRACTTTCATTTGAAAACGCAGACATTCTCATCCATGCATTACTGCAATGCTCTTCTCTCTGGGCTACCAAAGAAAAGTTTTAGAGGCCTACAGACAGTTCAAAATGCACCTGCTTGTATTCTAACCAAAAGAAATATGAACACATTACCCTGCACTGTCATCTCTCCACGGGTGGCCCTGTCAGGTTTGAGCAGACAAGGCCTCAAATGGTTTAACACCTCCTTACCTTTCTGATCTCCTGCACCTGATCGTTCAATCTCATGCTCTCTAATCTCAGGGCACTGGTCTTTTAATATCCATAAAGCCAGAGTAAAAACTGTCTGAGGTTGTACTTTTTCCTTTTGTGCCAGTGGAACAATCTCCTTCAAATCACCAGTCTGGCCTGCTCTGTAGAAGCTTTTAAAGCTAAGCTAAATACCCACTTGTTCACACTTTCTTAMGCAGCTTCACTTTTACATTTATAGTTTTATTATTTTTGTCTTTTGGTGTTTTATCTGTTCCTATAACCTTTTACTTTGGTTTTATCTCCATGTAATTGCTCAGCACTTTGAAAGRGCTTTATAAATAAAGTTAGTATTCCTAAACCACAGAATGTATTCTTTAATGAAACCCCAACACATCGGGCTGATGGGACAGTTGTGAAAACATATATACAAATAGTAATATTAACTAAAAATATTTTATTCATATGGGCACTGTTAAAAATACTGAACAGTAATAAAATGTATTCATCTCTCTCAAAAGTTTCAAAAGCCACATGAGCAGTATCCACCATTTCGCTTTGGTACGGTCCCAAATGGAAGCACAGAGCGCAACATTAGAAGTAATTACCCTGAGATGCACTCCCACATGGTCAAATACAACCAGAAGGGGGTCGAGGACGCCCTCAACAGCCTTAAAACTGGGTACGTTTTTGCCAGCAGCCAATATCTCAGGCACACCGAGCAGAAACGCAAACAGCTTTGTGACGTTCTCTTTTTTTTAAATCCTGACAGGAAACTGGATGCCTTTATCTACGACGCTGCAGTGCTGAATTACATGGCAGGCAAAGACGAGGGGTGCAAACTGGTGACCATCGGCAGTGGAAAAGTCTTTGCTACCACCGGTTACGGCATTGCCCTGCAGAAGGACTCACGCTGGAAACGACCCATCGACCTGGCGCTGCTGCAGTTCCTGGCTGATGGTATTTGCAATAAATTCTAAATGCTGAATAGCAACAAAGGGAAATAAAAAAAGTACTGTAATAATACAGAAAATATATTGTGCTCATAAAGAAAAGAAATCAATGATTTAACATGAAAACCTGCAGGCTGGAGTTCATCTGAATCAGAGGCTGGCCTCAAACGTGTCAATAAAACCAATTAGAAAGTATCTATATGTAACTTATTTACCATCTTCAGGCCAGAGTGTGATAACATTTGTTTGAAAATATGCTAAACAGCAACACGAGTGCTAATTAAACATATAAAACACTGTGAGGAGRCAAATACAGAAATGTTCTATCATTTACATCAGCAGGATATTGATTTCATGTAAAGAACAAAACATTTTGTTRGAAAACTAACATCTAGATTTCACAAACAAACAAAAAGTTATGATAATTACTATTCTGAGTTTCTCATTTTAGAAAAATATCTGCAGTGTAATTAATCTAACGTACTCAATTATTGAAAGAAAACCGGAGGAAAACGTATTTTAACTGCTGACTGAGAGATTATTAAGTGTTTTCTGTGTTTGTCACACAGGCGACACACAGAAGCTGCAGACCGTCTGGCTCACAGGTATCTGCCGAAACGAGAAGAAAGAGGTGATGAGCAGCAAGCTGGACATCGACAACATGGCGGGAGTTTTCTACATGCTGCTGGTCGCAATGGGCCTGAGCCTGCTGGTGTTCGCCTGGGAGCATCTGCTCTACTGGAAACTCCGACACTCGGTTCGCAAATCAAACCGACTGGACTTCCTCCTGGCCATCAGCAGAGTGCGTAACATAAAATGGATTTACTTCTTTGTCCTCACACAGTAATTAACAGGCATTAATAGTTTCCTCTGGAGGCATCTTTGAAGAATAAAAAAAATAACCAAAACCATAAAACACCAAGTCAGACTGGGTTATAATTACAATCGGCAGCAACCGCACAAGGATTTCTTAGATACTCTTCAAAATAAAGAACTGATCGTTATGTTTGAGAAACTGAATTTAAATTGCCCCATTAAAAAATCCTCATCGCTGCATCAAGAGTGGTCAAAGGCGAGATTACACATTCCAAAGCAGTACACAATTTGAAAGTGAAATCAAGATGGTGGGGCATAAATATAGAAACTAATATACTAAGTGCATAATCAGCAACTCTCYTTTCCATCCCTGAGGTCTTTGAGAGAAAATAATACTTCAATCACAGGAATGGAACCATAAAGTATATTAAAATAAGTTTTAAAAACACCCGAATGCTATAAAACTACCTTAATTGCTTAGTATGTTAATAAAAAATAGGAATTTAACAAACTCGACACAATGTCTGCAAAAAAAAAAAAAAAACACGAAGGCTCTTATTGTGTCTTTTTATCCTCTTTCAGGGTATCTACAGCTGCTTCAATGGAGTCGAGCAAACTGACCGCAACGGGAGCATGCAGAGTCCAGACGTCACCTCCAACTACACACAAGCCAACATGCTTAAGATGCTGAGGACAGCCAAGGACATGGTGTCCTCCGCCAGAGTGGAGAACTCTCTCGACAGCGCCACCAAAACAATAGAGAACTGGAGCCGACGGGGAGCGGACAGCGCGCGAGCTGGACTGCCTCCTAGAGTTACCACCACAGACATGACCCATGGCCGCCTGCCTTATATCTCCAGCATTACAGACAACCACTCACCATACCCTCACGGGGCCGTTACGCCAACCTTCCCAGTGCATTACGGGGACACTTCCACCCAACCCCTTTTGGAGAAGCCCAGGGTGGGAACCCGGCCTTCGCCTCTCCGCTACACGCTGCCCACCCGCAGCAGTCAGCACCTGTTAGAAAGGACTCTGCCCATCTCCAGCCTCAGCTCTCCACACATCGCCATCAGGGATCCTGCTCCTCCTGGACCGTCGAATCCCCACCACAGCAGCAGGCTGTATGTGGAGAACCAGGCCCGGCACCCAGCATCTCCCTTTGCTCCTTACAGAGAGTTCCAGGTCCCCGACATTTACATGGAGCACAAAGGACCCCTGAGGAGGAAGTTCAGTTACCCCCCTGACTGTATAAGCAGGAAGAGAAAGTCTTTCACCTACATGTTGGACGCCGCAGAACCTAGACTTAGGGGTGACTACGATGAACCGCGGTCCTGCTTCGCTGAGTTGAGAGCTAATCATCTTTTAAACAATCACACCTCTGATGCTGCTGCCATGGCTTGCACCGGCGGACACTACCCCGGCGCCAGCGCCGGCTGCAACTCCTGCATGAAGTCTTACCTGGAGCCRGACATGGACGACATACCCCTCTTGGGAAAGGACAAACTAAATCGGCGTGCCTCGTTCCTCAAAGCRACGTGGGGCAACGACAGAATCCATCAGGTGGATGAAACAAAGCCTTCTACATCCACGTCTCCCTCCACCCGAGCGGATATGCCTGATTTGTTTCCGCGGGTGGTGTGTCCTAATCCAAAGCCTCATAAGCTTTATGGCAGTTTAGGACACAATCTGTCCTGCTACCCCATGGCTGCTGAGCCAGCCTACCTGGACCCTGCTCACATGTGTTCCTACCCCTACAAGCAGAAGCTGAAGTACTCCGACAACACCCGACTGCCCTCTTACAGGGAAGCCATCCTGCAGAACGCTGCTGCCCTGCGCCGCTCCTCCTCCTCCACGGTGGTGCACAGACATTACTCCACCTACCTGAACTCCTACACGGACTTACCGGTGTARGTGAGCCCACTGGCACAGGGACCGTCACAGTTCTACAACAGTCCAAAGAACACGTGTCACTTGATTCCCTGCACCAGCCACTGTCCAGAAAAAGCAGCGATGATGGCTCGTGTGAGCGACAGACATATGGTGTACCACAACAATATGTTTGGGGCCTATGATAGCACGGGAAAGAGGGCGGACCCAGGCTCCGGGGGCAGAGAGCGGAGGCAGGTGTTGGTGGCGCGAGGAGTCAACAGTCCCTATGTGCCAAAGCCCTGGGGTAGGGTATCTAGCCTGGAGTCTGAGGTCTGAATCCTTACCGGTCCTCCATTTGGCCTGACCGGGTCCCTCCTGGGGAGAGGACTTTCAGGAGGTCYTTCCCTCAGCCTCTGGTCAAAGCAAAAATTTAATTTTACACCAACAGTGTATTTGAGAGTGTTTTCTCTCCACTATCAGTGCAATAATATCTTGAGCAGCAAAATGTAAAAGGAGATGAAACTAAAAAGCAAATCATTGCTGAGACATTTTCGGCCAAATGTATAAATCTACTTAAAGAATTTGAAATGTTACAAAGTATTTACTACGTGAAGATTTAACCAGTTCATTGTTAAAGAATATTTTTATGATGTGTCACCATGTGAAATTCTTTTGGGAGACAATATACTGTAGCCTCTCCACACGATTACAAATTAAAAGACATTTCTCTTTTTTCCCCAGAGAATCATTTAATTACCCATCATGTCAACTGACTAATAAAATTTAAAACCTTTATTTTGTGATTTAAGCACTGAGATGTCTTCCGTAAACTTTTTAAGTCCACAACCTTGGGTGCACCGAGACTTTCTGGTCATTATTGTAATGCTACTGCACTTCTAAAGCTAAGCTAGTAAAAAAAATTAAAAAGTATGAAGTATTCTGTGTATCTGCATTGTTAATATACCCTTTAATAAAGAACAAGGCCATCTGAGGAGCCTTTTGATTTAGTTTCAGTCTTCTTCATGTGTATGATCTGATTTACAGGGATTCTGTTCCATCAAAGAAAACTGAACCATAAAAATGATGCAAGGATCACAAAACCTGTTGGTGAACAGTAAATACTGAAATTTATACTTCAAGCAAATTAATCTGCCAGATTCACCTGTATGAACAATGGTACGGTGATTTAAATGTATCATATTCTTTGGTTGAGTTAGATACAACAAATGAAAGTGTTTCAGTCCAGTGCAGAGCCACAACAAGAAAATTCACTGATAATACAGAACAGCAAAATAAATACAGRGACAACAGATACCAGCAGAAGCAGAATTACAGAAAAAATAAAAATAAAAAACACTTAACTTGGGCATTTGCACTAAACAGGCTCCAAGTTACACAAAATGCATCTGAGCTCAGAGGAATGCAAAAACCAAAGTAAACACACACGCACATTATTTTTAGATGCAACTGAGCCAAGAAACATAAATCCAGCAGCAGAAATCAGCAGCATGAAATCATAAAAACAAGAGTCAACGCACATAAAAAGCAGCATAGTAGAAACAAAACCACTTCAGCTGGGATACCCAGAAGCACACAAACAATAAAAACACCTCAGCTGTATGAAACAATTACATTGTTTTATCAGTTAATTGGAAGAAAGTTGGTTTCACTGTTTCTTGGTTGGTTTTATGTAAATGCATGAAACATATGGAGGTAATTTTGATTTTTAATTATTTAATCAAACAAAAATAAGGCAGTTAAAAAAAGTTTAATTAATTTTTCTGAAGCGGGAGAAATTGCTTCAGTCTGCACTAACCAATAGGGACACGTCTTACATAGTTCCTCCTTAAGCCCCGCCCCAGATGTTTATGTTCTCGGACCTCAAAACTTTTGAGTTCAACCAAATGTTTGAGATTCAACCAAAGGTTTTTGACCCGAGCAAAAAAAAAATGTTTCTGTTTTGCAAAAAACCTTGAATTTTTATTTATTTATTTTGTTTTTGATTGAAATTGCTTTTCTGTTTGGTTGAAGTTAATATTTTTTGATTGGATGAAATTATTTTTGGTAAAAATAAGAATTTATAAAAAAAAGGTTTTTTGATTGAAACTGCTTTTTTTGTTTGACTGAATAAAAAAAATTTACCTCCATAGGAAACATGCATGCTTTTAACTTTATCCAAAATGCTAAGTCTCATGCAGTCTGTATAGAACTGGTCTACATCTATAAACTTATAAAAGTCATAACAAAAAACAAAAGACAAAGACTCACCGGACTGAAGGATGTCAGTGATGATCAGCTGATATTGTTCATAGTTCAAAACTGCAAAGACAAAACATTACAACYTTTAGGACAAAGTGTAAATGATTTTTTAGTAAACAACAAAAATCTGTGAGCTGTGAAAAAACAAAAGCAATTTAGCATTTTTGTTTAAGCAAAAATCAGCACAAATCTGCATCTGGAGACTGTTGCGCTCCGACTACTTTTATTAATAATAAACCATTTTGTATTTGACTCCATTTAATGCACAGAAACAAAAGTCAAACATGTTTTTGTTTTCCWGAAAAATAATCAGAATTATCACAAACTTAAGTTTGGTGACAAATGAAAGCTTGTTGATTTAAACCCTCTGCAGGTTTTTATTGTTCTGGTAAAGTTTGTCAGGTTACACCTGCAGCCTTTTTCTGCTCTTTTCAGATTGCTTCAGATACAAAGCGGGACGTGACGACGCTGCGACGATGACATTTCTGTTTTCTGTGCCGTTCGCTGACACAGGTCTGCTAAATTGATGGTAGGGGCTGGCTGATGGCAGCACAGATGATGAATGATTCTACACACACAGAGAAAATCTGASTGGCAATTTGCCAACCAAAGTCCAAAATATCCAGCGGGAGCTGCTGCACTGCTCGCTGCTGGGGAAATTAAAGCGTTAAAAGATACCACAGCTTGATTTGGAGCTCTCAGGGAAAATATGATCAGTAATGACTCATCCTACATTAAAGGTTATGAGTTTTTTTCTAGGACTTATACAGCTCATCACTAAGATGTGCAACATCTAATTATWGTTCAATCAGTGACTGATTTTGTTCTTTTTTATTTATTGCTGAAGGTTTTCTGTGAGAACTAATGTGATTCTTCTCCTGTTGTAGTTTAGGCTCTGTGGAAAGGTTGTGAACAATTAATATCTTACCTGCTGCAGATAATTCTGAACAGTTTGATAGGACTAAGGTAGACTAAAACTAAAATGGAATGCAGCCTTATGAAAGCAGCTCCACTATAAAAGCAGTCATTCACAATAACAATATTCTATAAATTAAAAATAAAGCAACTCCATCTCAGCTGCAGGTTTTCTTTTCATTTAATTAAAAACAAAACATTTAATCAAAAAACAAAAATTTCAACACAACCCAAATCATTAAATGAAAGGGGGCAGAAAGAAGAAAAAAATCTTAAGTCTGCCCCCATTTAACAAAAAAATGTATATATACACATACACCCATATTATATACATAACTATTTCACACCCAGCTAAATAAATTATATATATATATGTAAAATAAAGTTCAACTACTCAAACAGCAGCTTGCATAAAAGCGTATTATTTTAAATCCTTTTAAGATTATAAATAATTTCCCTCTTAATGAAATCAGACTGAATGTTTAAGGGTAAAGCATTTTTATGAGCCTTATTTATAATCAACAACATCTTATAATCAACCAACTCATGAAACTTCAACAATTTCAGCTGATGAAATAATGTACTCGATGGTGACTGTAATGTTTTCTGGTGATAATTCTTGTGGCTCTCTTTTGCAAAATGAAAAMAGAATTTGTAAATGTTTTACATGCCTTCCCGCAGACTTCAATAAATCAAAAAACAATAAATCAAACGTGGAACAATTATTGGATTATATAATATAATTTTCTCCAACTTCTAACTTATTTCAGTGGCTGAGCTCAGTAAACATAGAGACGCCTGATTGGATAAACAGAAATCCCAGCTACAAGCATTTAATATGTCTGATTTATCTCACGCCTGCAGACCTGAAGTAAATTTCTGCAGACAAATATGTGAACAGTGTTTCCTGTGTTCACTGACCAGAGCAATCTGCATTAATTTCAATCAGTAATTAATCAGTCGTTCTCTGATCTGTGTGCTCTGTAACGTGTCACATCCATTCCTCTTCAGTCCTATTTGAAATGTATAAATTCACAGAAGTGCTGCATACCAAGCAGGCCCTGCAGGATGATTCATTTCTCAATTCTGCCACGTAAATAATGGACYAAATTATATTTACTGTCAGGAAGTGTCAGGTTTATGAATGTGATTTACTCAGCATAGTAAGAAAATGAAATTTAGACGATCTCAGGTAAATCTGAGCTGATGGGCATTCAACAAAAGCCAACCAACATATTATTTTAGGTTTTATTAGGATGAACAGAAATAAATATTGGCTCAAACTGAGAAAAATAAATAATCCAGTAATCTGTGTAACTGAAACAGCTGCTCATCACGCCACCTCCTTAGTTTGCTTTAGATTTCTCCTCCAGTCAGGTTTTCTCTCAGTTTTCTTTTTTAAACAGACAGAAAACCCGTTTGGGACGAGAGTTTAGAGAAACCACCTGGATTAGCTGGCAGCCAGCCAGGGGTTCTGACCCATTAAGGCCATTAGCTCGTTACCATTAACTCGATGTGAGGATCTGATGTGGAGAAACAGAGTCCTGCTGCTCGTTCCAAGAAACCTTGAACTCTCCTTCGACTGCAGGAACGACGGCTCTGTGAACGGAGACACAAGAAAGGTGAGAATCATCAGAACAGCTTCAGACTTTTTCAAACTCATCAAATCGAATCAGTGAAAAGAAGCTGGAGGTGTCACCTTTGACTGATGTCTTATCTGCTTTTTTAAAGAAGTAAAATGATGCAACTGAGCCTCAGTGAGGAGAGTTTGTGTTCTGCAGAGTGTGTCTGACAAAATGCTACGAAATCTGCAGGTTAAAACTTAAAAACAACATTCATAGGAGGTTAGGTGAAAAAATACTAAAAGTACTTTCCTGTCTGATAAATAGATCCAAAATATGGCACGGTATGGGCCAAAATTAAGACTACTGCACAGCCAGCGGTTGCTACATCCTTGTAGCAGGAGACTATATCTACTCCTAAATTAGCTATTGATCTGATTAATGACAGGCCGGCCCCACTAACTGAGCAGCTGGCCCTGCTAACTGAGAGGCCACTGCAGGAAAATGAGAAGACTATTCATTTGTATTAGCATCAGAGAGGCTAGTGACTAGCATGGACAAGCTGACATTAGCATTGGGAAGGCTAACAACTAGCATGGATAAGCTTGCATTAGCATTGGAGAGACTAGTGACTAGCATGGATAAGCTTGCATTAGCATTGGAGAGACTAGTGACTAGCATGGATATGCTGGTGTTAGCATCAGAGAGGCTAGTAACTAGCATGGATAAGCTGGTTTTATCAGAGAGGCTAGTGAGTAGCATAGATAAGCTGGTGTTAGCATTTGAGAAGCTAGTGACTAGCATGGATAAGCTGGTGTTAGCATTAGAGAGGCTAGTGAGTAGCATAGATAAGCTGGTGTTAGCATTTGAGAGGCTAGTGACTAGCATGGATAAGCTGGTGTTAGCATTTGATAGGCTAGTGACTAACATGGATAAGCTGGTGTTAGCATTAGATAAGCTGGTGTTAGCATTAGAGAGGCAAGCTACTAGCATGGTTAGGTTGGTGTTAGCATTAGAGAGGCTAATGACTAGCATGGATAAGCTGGTGTTAGCATCAGGGAGGCTAACGACTACCATGGATAAGCTAGTGTTAGCATCAGAGGCTAGCAATTAGCATGGATAAGCTGGCATTAGCTTTGGAGAAGGTAGTGGCTAGCATGGATTAGCTGGTGTTAGCGTCAGCGAGGCTAGGGACTAGCATAGATAAGCTGATCACCTACTTTATTAGACGATCTAAAAAAAAAAAAAAAACAAGACGGTGAATCTTAAGCTGGGCTGACATGATTTATTTTGAGGAAGATGCTCTGAAATATGAGCTGATAATCATCGGTGAGCGTCGCTGCAGACCAAACAGGATCAGAACCAGGGGGTCTTCTGCRCAGCAAATTGGTGGCCATAATGGTGCCTGATTTTAAACATTTACTCATTTGCTTCATCAGGGTCCAAGCAGAGGTCCACTGTCCGGACAATCTGGTCCAACCAGAACACAAGCAGCTCTGCTACTCACAGGCTTATAAATTATGTAAGTTTCGTTGTTTAGCAAAAAACATTTTTGTTTTTTAAAAATGTTGGCTGAAAACAAATAAAGTTAATAAATATTCTTCCTGCTGGTCTATCATTATTTTCCTGGATAAACATTTATTTTTACACAGAGCACCAGATATAACCGACTCTGCAGCAGGACCCACAGAGCTGTTTAAAGAAAACCAAAAATATCTTTATTTATTTATTTTATTTATTNACCGACTCTGCAGCAGGACCCACAGAGCTGTTTAAAGAAAACCAAAAATATCTTTATTTATTTATTTTATTTATTCAATTAATTAATTAATTAATTAATTAATTTATGAGGTGTCTGGAATGCAGACCTACAAATGATTTCAGAAAAATGAACCTGTCCATAATCAGACAACTGGATTCTTCCTGGGGCTTCATAAATATGCACCTGAGGAGGAAACTAATCAAAATGTGGTGCTGCTGGAATTACAGCACAGATGAGAACCAGGTGAAAAATCACAGAGAAGATTTGTTTTTAAGAGAAAAATCAGCCTCAGAAAAATTTAATTTATTAAAGCAGCATGGTAAGAGAGTATTCCTGAAAAGCTTTTGTGGAGGTGGAAAAGAAATGAAACCCACTGCCTATTCTGGAAATAACTGATGAAAATAACTCAGCAGCCCCTCTGTGCACAGCTATGARGGGCTTTATTTCCTCTAGATACAGAGGTGACTAAAAATCACTTTTTATTTTTGTTTTWTTCAACAGAAAAATCTAAATAACTTCTTTTTTCACCTCCTTTCATATGGGGTTATGAGTATTCTTCTAAAAAATGTATTGGCCCCTTCATATTATTAACATTTTTTCTCTAAAACAATGAAGGAAACAAAACAATAAGGGGAAGAAGAAATATGATGGATGCAGTAATAACATTTTTATGTCTTGGTTTAGACGGCTCATAGATTTTTGTTGCCTTTATCTGTTTTAAGTTTGTTAAAACCATAACTCAAAATATGCAATTTTCAGTGTTTTTATTAAGAAAATATGCTTTTAACACAATTTGTACATCATTAAAAACGTTGTTTGAGGTATTTGTTTATGACCCCAAACGCCTTCTTGACGACTCATCTCAGGTCACCAGTTTTTTTTCCTTTCGTTCTGTTTTTTCAGAATAAGAGAACTTCACCTCTTTGCTTTCAACATGGTAGACAGACTGAAGTGTACTTGTCAAACATAACTACTATTTAACCATTTATACAAGTTATGCTGTAAACTTTTAGTGGTAAATGAAGATTTAGTAGTTTTTAATCATAGATGACACACTGATACAAAAAGTTAACGTTTTGCTGTTAAATGACTAATTATTCACATTTCCAATCCACTCTTCGTGCTTTTTGAAAGTTGCTCATATTTATTGCACATTATTCATTTAGTTTTGTTCAGTTTTATGACAAATGTGATTACACTGTAAAAATATTATAATCTTATATCAGTCAAAAAGTATTTTGGATCTTGTTTTGAGACTGATTTACTAAGCAAAATCAGAATATGTTGGATTATTAATCTTTCCTGAAAAGTTTTCTTTATTTCAAGAAGTCTGATCAAGTGTTGTTATCTTAATGCACTGGTAGAATATGTCACTTCATTTGAGAAGATTCAGATTATAATCTAGTATTTTTTTTAACTTACTTATGGCTCATTTCTGCTCTGTATTAAGTACCTGTCGTAACTCTACWCTGCAAAAACTGTCCATCTTACCAAGTTTTAAAACTTCATATCAGCTAAAAARGTCTTTTTGATCTTGTTTTGAGACTTATTTACTAAACAAGAACTGATTGTGTAAGAATAATCATCTTGTTTTCAGAATGTGTAAGATTATTTGTCTTGTTAGTCTGAAAATTTGACTCAAATTAAGTAAAAAAAATTCTGCCAGTGGAGTAAGAAATTTTACTTGGTAGGATTC